TTTTTCGCACATAATTTTCAGGGCTCAAGTTCGCCCATAATAAACTAGTTTTTGGTGTTTCTTCTCTTGCACCCTTTACAATATGTTTTTTTTTTTGTCGCTGTATTTGGTTTTACAGTGTAGGACAATTTGTGGAGAAACGAAACTGCTGCGCCTTTAGGTTTAGCTGAAAAGGGGGGGAAGCGGGGGCGGCTATGATAAGGACTACGGAGGGAATATAGTAGGCGAAGGGGTTGTACGTCATGTTGTGCTAACGGGCGTTGACACCAGGAGGCGCGCTTGACCTAATGACAGCTTGAGATACATCCCTTCAGGGTGAGTGAGCAGCGGCAGGCCGCCCTTTCAGTGTATACGTTTACTCCGCGCTTGCTTGATAAGGATGTGTGAAAAAAAAAAAAAGTGCGGTGCGCTCAGAGGAAAAGGGGGTTGGTGTCGTCTTTGGTTGATACCAGCGCACCGAGTTCAGAACGGGCCCGCCCTGAATGCAGAAGCGAGGCCCCACGCAAGAAGCGTTCGCGCGCCCGAGTCGGTTAGTCGTCGTCGAGCTGTCTGACGCCTCCGCCCTGTGTGTATCACACGCACAGCGAGCACAGAAAGGAAACGCGCCCCACCCTCAGCCGCGATTTCGTGAGCCGTGCGAGCTGTAGCCACGCACTACATCGGCAGAGGAGTGTGTGAAGAGAGTTGCGTTTGCTTTCCCACTCCTTATTTATTTTTTTACCGGATTTCGGAGCGGAAGGCCGTTTTGCAGCCTTCGTGGATCTCTTGCGGACGTAACTGCAACCATGTACGCCTGTTGTTGTGGGTCGGCGATATGTCTCGTAGTACTTACTTAACGGCAGGGATTTGATGACTAAACTATATAGTTTGCTTGCACATCGCATGCCCACTATTCCGGGCTTTGATTGATTCGTGGCACTTAGCGCTCTACACTGTTACTGAACAAAAGTTAGCGCTCACTGTTACTGAACAAGAAACAAAAAAATAAGTTGAGAGCAATATGGAGCCTTGGCGTAATGAAATATCATCGAACCACGGGGATCATCGGAACAGTCGCTTCGCCGAATAGACTTGTATGCGTCAAGGCAGCACCTAACAAAGACAAGTGTGGTTATCAAAGCGCTAGCTTCAGCGACTTTTCCCGTTTCAACGATGTTCAACAGAACTATACGAGAGAGGACATCGCTATTATCCATTCATATTACTCATCTCTATGTCTCTATTTTAGCTAACGTCGTTTTCTTAGGCATGTGCAATAATCAAGGAATCAAGGCAATATCTCCGGGCACAATCTGTTTCATCGGTCAGCTGACTTATTATTTTGCGTGCAAATCTCTAGGTAGGCAAGACGTGATTATTCCGTTTCAATCTCTTTTCAGCAATCTACCTGATTTTTTCTTTTCTTCACACTCAATATGTTAAGCATTGCACAACCACCGCTGCTGGACTTGCCCACAAACATATTTTGCTTGTTCGGCAGCCCGAAGTGTATAATCGCATCGCGAAACGGTTAATGGGACCGTGAAAGTCTCCGGACCGCATTCTGAAGGCTACCCCTAAATTTCTTGCGAGAAAACGAGTCAGCACCCATATATGTCAGACTTGTGTGTACAAAGCCCTGTCCCATATTCTGCACCATTCTTCGTATTTCATTACGGAACACCTAAACAGAGCGCCCAAGTTTGGTAGACCGCTCGCTAAAGCACGTTCGCAAACGTATACCCTGACGAAAACTAGTAACGACAATAAATATTTATTGTTTAATACGGTTTCTTGATTACAATACTCGATCTGTGTTTTCTTCTTTCTGTGCTTCGTTTCTTCTCGGCGCCTGTTTTTTGTTGGTGTACCATTGGTGTTCTTCGTACTTGGTTATCGTTCAAATAACTATGCATGATTGTTCTATGCCGTACTGCTGTGTTCAGTGGTTATGTGTTCTTATTATTCTGCTTTTTCTTGTTTCAAACGTCGAAAGTTGTGACAGTGATGCTCACCCATGTAATAAACACCAGGGGGGTATTGACAGTATTCTGCAAATAAATAATAAAATAAATAAATAAATAAATGAAAACCAGTCGATTTGCGTTGACACATTGGCCTCGTGGGCGTGCACAGGACGTGCAAAAACGAGGGCAGGGATGGGGCTTTCCATTGAGGCATGGAAACCAAAAACAGCGCCCTAAGTAAAACGCAAGAGTAGGAGTCGCCGCCGCGCCTTACCAGTGATACCACAGGCCAACGTGGGCCGGTGAGGCAGTCAGTCATGCATGCGCGCTCGCTGAAGAAGGTGCACGAAAGTGCAGTGCACCGCCGAGCCGACGAGCGATTTCAACAGCCGCACTGTTCACCTGGAAAGGGATCGATTCCCTTGCGCCAGGAGACCGCAGCGGCAAGTACGAAGATTCTCCACCTTTTCCACCCCATCCGGACGGCCGTTGCGCGTGGCCGGTTTCCTCGACGCTAAGAAATTTATTCTGTATGCGTTATATGCGTGTACACATCGACGACGCTGTGACACGCTTCCTTTTATGTGACATCTGTCGTTTCTTGTGTTAGTGGGTGTGTCACGCGTAAGTCACAGATAAATTAAAACACCGGGACTCGAAACATGCGCATTCGTCTATACACTCGGAGAAAAAAAAAAAAGAGTCGATTCTTTTTTGGGAGTTCTGACTGACCACGTGTATGACTCCTTTAAAGGTACACAAGGACTCCATTTAAATGTAATTTTATACATTTGTCGGAACGCAGCGGGACTGTAAAGAAAGTTCACATGTCTCCTTAAAAAAAGTCGTACACTTTTCACGCCAAGAATATATCCCATGCGAGTAACACATACTTTTTTTTTCGTCCTTTGCATGTAGTTCGTTGCGATCGACCTCGAAATCCGTCAGTGTTTCTATCGTGAGCGCCAGAGTTGAACAAGGCAGGTTATTCTTGACTGTTTCCAATTTCACCGAATTGCCAAGTTCTGCAATGGCGGAATTTTGAGCTATAATCATAGAGCCTGTAGCTTTCCAGGTGTGGCTGCAAGAGCTGACGAGGTGACAAATTCGACAATACCATGGAATTTGAAGATTCCGCCGGGCCAAGTCATTTCTTCGACTGCAGAACAATCTAATAACGGCAGGAAGGGGGAGATGGGAGCTTTTGATGAGAAAATCAGTGAATAGGGGTTGTGTTCCCGAGTCTGGCGTTCTGACTTTTTGACGAGGGCACATGTCTTCTTCAAGGCTGAAACTGATTTCGTTCAAGCTAACGTGTATATGCTTCGTACCCTCTACTCCAATTCCCCCGCGCACCACATATACAATTGTTCTATTTCCCTCTTTTGTTGAAATTAGAGAAGAGGGCACGTAGTTATAACGCTAAGGAAACCAGACCTAAGGCTTGTGGAAGACAAGCCTACTCGTCCAAACGTCAGGCTCTAGCACACCACCCCTTTCCGCGGATTTTTATTGCGATGGCAATTATGGACCCTCTCGGCTGGATTTCGCCGCCGGCGTCGGCGTGGGCGTCGGTGTCGATGTCATGCATCGTATATGCATGCGTATCTATATATATGAAAACGCAAGAAAAAAATCTCAGAAAAAAAAGACTCCGTTGTGTGGAACCGAACGTCGGCCCTCCGCGTTGTGAATGCGAGGCGTTAACCACTTAGCCACAGACGGGGTACCTCCTTTAACGCTCAAACGGCAAACTATTCATATCTACCACCAACGCCTCCTCTAGAGGCGTTGCTACCACTTGCCGCTGGTGGCGGGCATCTCGGGGGGAGGGGGACTATTGTATTTTCAGCATTATCAGGAAGATGGCGCAGTGAGCAGGCGGCTGCTCTCATCTCTCACGCGTACTTTGGCCCGCGTAGAGAATAAGGGGGTACCATAGAGTAACATGTTACTCTATGGGTGTACGCTCGATCGCGCGCTTTTATCTTGCTGTGGAGAGAATTGTACGTTTTGGCTAGCCTTTGGGTTTCGTCGGAACGATTCTGTTGTAGTTACCGGGCGCACAAAGGTCACTGCAATTGTTGCACAGCCTCCGTTTGCGAAAAGGGAGCGCTTTTCAGACACAGTGAAGTAACAACTAAGACGCTTATTCGCGTTCACCTGTACCTGTGGGTACGTTTCATGCGTCCTTTGTGCGTGAGAAACGTTTCGATCTGCTTGCCATTCTGCTCGTGACCTTCCAATTTGTTGCTATCGTGTTCATTGCTTCGCCTTTGCGGCAAAACTGTGACTTTTTTCCATGCATCGATCTAATATTATACACTACAGGCCCGGTGCGCAACCTCGTCTGCGTTCGATGTGGTGAACACGCGTCGTCGTAAGTGTAATCGGATAGGCTATAGCATATTCTGTCGTTTTTCTTCCTCGTTCTTAGCAGCGCCATAATTAGATCGTTCAGCTCTTCTCTAACTCGCCCAACTTTACACCCTGCTGAAACATTGTATAAACTCACTGTTTCTCAGCAACATGCACACCACGTTTTCTTGCATTTTTTTCCCCCTTGTATCTAAACTCTCTTCGGTATACACCTTCAGCAGTGTGCTTGACGTGTGTGGTTTCTTTACATAGTGAAAGATGAATGAAACGCTTAGACAGGTCAAGTGAGGGTGACGGACACAGCGCTGACAAATAACCAAAATTTAGTACAACATAAATGCAATGTATGAGAAGCGAATTCTGTTCTATTCTGTTCTGTTCTATCTGTTTTCCTATGTAGGGGTAGAGGTACATATTACCTAAGCTACTCCATATCGATAAGAGGCTGCAGCAAAAAAAAAAGTACTGAGTGGTACCCAAAGTGAACAACTGTTTTACTCCTCTTTCATGTTTTAAGCCTTATATGAACCTCTCTTTAACCAGAAATAAGCCATGCGCGTTTTGGTGACTGTTTTAAAGTTGAGAAACGTGGTATTGTGTTGATGTTATTTCCGGAACCCTCAGTCACGGAGTCATTGAAACGTACTCTGCCGTGCCTGCACTGCGATTGCGCAGGGCCCTCGTGGGTGCCATTCGGGCAAACTCGTCGCACCCAAGGTGGCGGGGAATTTACGAACCCGGCGTGCTGTATCGCTGTCCGCTGCTCGAGGAAGGCCGGCCCTGCGTCGAGCTGTACGTCGACGCTGTGGGTGAGAGTACATGACAGTGCTATGTTGTACGTATATGCTACGTTAGCGCCATCTAGTAGATCAGCGTGTTTCTGTCAGTAGCTGCGCAGGAACAGAATACATCCCATCCCGTGACCATTATCCTGGTGTTTGCGTTAGTACTTAATAGAGGCGCCAACATGTCTTGCTATACTCGTCCCTGCTTAATCATCGCTTGTAGTATTGATCATGATGCTGTAAACTGCCCGAAGCATATTTCGAAACGTTTGCCTTGTGAAATTAGTGCAACATTTCAGAATTTATCTTATTGCAGCTACACTGCAGTGCACATTTCTTTTTTTTCTAACTGATCTAATTTTTCTTTAGTTGTGCAAATAGGAAAGCAAGTATTGGCATGTATAGTGCCACGCTACGATACTTTACCCCATGTAATAAATTTTCAGGCTTTTTAGCTTATCTAAATAAATATTCACATTCTGAAAAGGACAGCTGAGAAATGAGACATAAAATGTCTTATATTTATTCGCTTTTTATGTATTGAAAGGACGCAATAAAAACAGCGGGCTGTTTATAGGGTGATACTCGAGTTCTTCATGATAAGTAAAACACCAATTCGAACGCTGTGTGCGCGCCGGCTTTCGAAGACGTAAGCTGCACCATCTTGAATTAGTGGTCAAATAATCAAGCTGCAAATTGTTTCAGGTAACGAAATCCACGACGATCATATCGAAACTATGCGCTATCACGACTTGAAGGACAACATGACCCTGGGCATGTCCCTCGACGTTTCACCTGACGGGAGCGTTGTGGTAAGTGCCTTCGACGCAGCCCTTCTTCAAGATTTCGCGTATAAAACGCATGTGCGAAGACAAATGAAGTCCATGTTTGGTGGACCTCATTTGATGTTCCTTCCTCCTAATTTCCCCCATTTTTAAAGAAGCCGCCATTTTAAAGAAGCACTGTCTCAGAACGATTTTTGGCTTTCAGCAAAAAATATAAGTAGGGCTTGTATTATGCCTCTACATTTATGAAAAAAAAAATGAACAGTAAACTATGATTATGCACTGGAAGTCGTCCACGAAAAACCGTGCCCGCGCTGGCGACCGTGATTTCGTTTCGCCATGTATGACGTCGTTTGCTGCATATACAGCAGATCGATCGTCTTCTACCAAAGTTTCAGCCGCTTCAAGTCGTTCAGTTTCAATGCAAAGCTTGCCCCGCCGCGAAGGTGTAGTGGCTAAGGTACGCGGCTGCTAACCCGCAGGTCGCGGGTTCGATTCCCGGCTGCGGCGGCTGCATTTCCGATGGAGGCGGAAATGTTGTAGGCCCGTGTACTCAGATTTGGGTGCACGTTAAAGAACCCCAGGTGGTCAAAATTTCCGGAGTCCTCCACTACGGCGTCTCTCATAATCAAAATGGTGGTTTTGGGACGTTAAACCCCACAAATCAATCAATCAATCAATCAATCAATCAATCAATGCAAAGCTTAAGAATGCTGAAACAGCTCGATCGCACGCGCAGCTGTAGCTGACCGAGGAACCAAATTGTTCGCCGGAATGCTGACTCTCGCACGGGAGACGGATCGTTACGTCATGGTGCGCGAGTGCGCCATGGTTGCCAGACAGTCGGGCAACTCCGTGTCTATAAAAACATTCCTTTATAAACTATGTGGTCGATCAAATGTACTAAGATTTCTTGCGAACGCACAGGGTTTAACACACATAAGGCAGAAGGGGATATTGCACCTGAAGAATGGGTGTCATGGCCCCTTTGATAATGACTTTAAACGGTGTAGCTACCGGGGAGCTCTTAGGACGGAGATCGAGGGTCAAGTTTGTTGCATGCGCTCCTCTACAACCCGGCCTGCCTGGCAAACTCAACGTGATACCCCATGTCCCCACGATAAATTTATTCTTTACTTGTTTCGTATTTGCATGCGTTCAAAAATCACTTCGACGAAATCGGGAGCGGGTAAAAGTCAAGGAAAGTGGTGGTCGACCTTGACCAATCAGATTCTTGCTTCTACTTGAGCAAATGACACTGCGGTGGATGAACTGCTCAAGTTTATTTGTGGCGGCGAATGAATGCATCTCCAGTAGTGTCTATTTTGTTTTCGTGCACTTTGTCAGAGTTCTGTTCGCCCATCTGATTATAAGCTCATATCTTATTTGTGGTATAAAACAAAACCTGCTCAATCTCGATTCTCGCGTGATACTTCAGAACTCTATCATTAAAGATGCAACCGCAGCATATTGCAGAGCAATAACTTCAGTTACGCAGTGCGTTTAAAAGTAAACTAAATCAATTAACCAACATTCAACCAGATATAATCAAAGGTACTCAGCAGTTACGTTTCGAAACGTCAATATCGAAAGCCAAAACGCACTTTTCGGGCGACACATCAAGTAGCGGAAGTGCGTCAAGCGTGCTATGCGACGCAAAGTAAACCGGAATAGGCGCATCCGTCAGACCTTCCAACGTGCGTGAACAGCCCTGCGTTATCTGACACCTTAGCTTCGAGATATCCTGCGGAGCCCGGAAAGCCCACGAACTTACACGTATGGGTTCACGGATACATTGTCGTCAATCACCTCGGGAATATCCTGGACCCAAGAGGGGCTTCCACTCTGTTGTTATCGCTTTCATCTGAAGACGGGAAGACTTGAAGCAAATGAGCGTAATTTCGAAGTAGTTCATTGTGAACAGGAAAAGTTGAAACTTGATGAAATATTGATGACGATTGATTGATTGATATGTGGGGTTTAACGCCCCAAAACTATTATGTTGCCTATGCAGCGTCTCTCATTGATTATGAGAGACGCTGTAGCGGAGGGCTCCGGAAATTTAGACCACCTGGGGTTCTTTAACGTGCACACAAATCTGAGCACACGGGCCTACAACATTTCCGCCTCCATCGGAAATGCAGCCGCCGCAGCCGGAATTCAATCCCGCGACCTGCGGGTCAGCAGCCGAGTACCTTAGCCACTAGACCACCGCGGCGGCTTTTGATGAAATATTAAACTGCTTAGAATGTTTGTACATCTCTTAGTACGTGTTTCATTAATATGCGCGCGTGTCAATGATGCATGCATTTGTCCATGTCATAAATTTCTTGAAACATGCACCGATAAATTTATGGCGCAACATTGCATTGCACTTTTCGCGTGTGCTTATAAGAGTAATAAGAAATATAATAACAGCGTTTTTATTGCATTAAGGGAGGAAGCTCTGGGGGAAAAATATGTTTTCCATAAGTTCTAAATATCCTGTGTAGTGTACGAAAATTGCTGAACACAAAACTTACCTTGTGGGCATTTATTTCTTTTTTTCCTAAGCTGAATGTTAAAACTATACGTGTAGTCTCAAATAACATTTAACTTAAGATCCGAAGCGTTGGAAGCGATGTTGTCTAAGAAAGCATAACGAAAGGCTATTGACTCGTGATTGATAACTGACGGTGGCACAATCATCAAGTGCGCATTGGTATTTTATTTATTTAACATTTTATTCTTGCCCGCGTCTTCGCACGGCTAATGTCTGATGGATTTGAAGGACAATTTAAATCAAGTGTGTTGCAGTTGCTTCGGGAGTCCCGTATGTTTCATTTGTTGGTACATTGTACATGGCGAACGACCACACGCGATGCTCGAACATCTTTCTGTTCTTCCTTTCAGGCCTGTGCACCCCTGTGGAAAAACCAGAAATGGTACGGAGTCCACCTAGCTAATGGCGCTTGTTACGTACTCGATCAGGACCTCAGGCAACCAAAGAAACTAGTCCCTCTAGTCAAAAGAAGTGAGTGTTCGTGTGTTTTTTTTTCCCTTCGTGCTAGCTACATGTTGTAACCGGTGGCATGCTCCTCGTCATTCCGATATGATTAAGTTTATCACGTTGAAACAGTTTCTTAGTTACCCTTACTTGTGCACCCTGATCAACTGTGCGTCATAATTTTGTTTGCTTTCATGCAGGCTAACGAAAATTTTAAGCTATCCCTTTTTCACTAGGCCATTCTTCCCTACAAAGATATTTAGGCTTATTTAGGTGTTATTCTATATACTGTCTAATGCCAACATCTTGTTAAATGGTGGTATTTGAAGCCAATCAGAGAGGTCATTGCAGACTTGTTGGCCGGAGGTGAACACTGGCGGAGTTTGAAAATGTCCAGAATAGCACCCCAGGGTTCTAAAAGCCTCTACTAAATACTGCAATGCCTCAAAGGTCTCTTCTAAGGCAGTGAAGGCCCTTAACGCCTTCTCGCCCTTATACGGGCCTAAAAATCCCTTATACCAAGGCTCCTTCCCTATGGGCCTCCTCTACTCTCTACTGTATGTTTTTCATATGTTGTGCGGAGAATTTCGCGTGGCCGCTGATTATTGGGCTTTTACTAATTTGGTTGAAAGCAACGATGTAAACACGAATGCAGTAACGTATATAGTGGTAATCGAGATACCTCACAAAATACCACGCCACGTGTGCTGGGACGTTCAGCCCGTTTTACAACGAGACGTGTCTTTGAATACATTGAAGATGCTATACAAAAGCTGTATTGTTTTAGCGCTTTTACCTAGCGCAACGTTTTGCCCGCTCACAAGCTCGTGCTTGTCTAACTGCGCAGTTGTAAGGGCTCCCAGCTTTTGCAACATTTTATTTATTTATTTATTTTGGCATGTGCTCGAGCGCTTGTCTGCGAGTGCCATTACTTCTTCTTTCATTGCTATCGGTCTGTTACAGTTTTTTTTTCTTTTTCTTAGAATAACTTGCTCGAGAGCGTGCTTTGGTTCTAACTGCGCAACCGTATGCTGTAGCTGTATGCATTGTTGCAGCTTTTGTTCAGAGTTTTTCTTGCAGCGCCGGTTTACCGTGACGGTAAGCACGCTATAGCACCGTATACCAACGTGATGGGCACGCAGCTTTTTACGAACTTTTTGGTCGCTCGATTTGCTTATTGCGAACGGCTAGCTTGATGGAATGGCCAAAGTGGCTAACGGAGGCCTTTCGGGCTTAAAAAGCTACGGGCCGACGGTAACTGCTCCAACGGGTATACTCTGTGCGGCTGTATGTTGTCGCAGCTTTGTTCATCGCATAAAGAAGCCACGCAAGCACTTTTCCTTAGCGCCGATGGTTCCTCAGTGGGTGTTATTTTTTGTAGCAACTTCATTGTGCTTTTTCTTTGTTTTCTGCATGACTTATACGCACCAGCGCTTGCCAGCGCAGTAGCAGCTGCTTCGGATACATGTATCTTCTAGCATTCTTATAGTTTAGTACAGTTAAATTTGTCTGTACACAAAATGCCCCAGCAAGCGCTTTTTTTGCTTTGGAAGTTTTTCATTAGATGGCAACACGAACGAATTAGAGGTCCGGTCACACACCTTCTTATTAGAACATACTGCTTCTTATTAGAATATACGAATGAGAAATGATCCTCTCACACTTTATATTATGCATAAGTTCTGCGTGATTCATCTCTCTAATTTGTGTGTGTTTTACTCGCATGCAAAGCACTAATGTATGCTCGCATGTTCTTGTAGGATGCATTGAACATGTCTGCCCAGAATATAGCACGCATGAATGTGCTTATACAGAGCGTAAATAATGTCAAACCCATCTGTGGCCCATCGCACGACGGTTACGGTCTGTTATGCTGGTGGTCAGAACATGTTATACAGCTCCCCTTCCCTATCCACTTAGCGATTGTCGTTATGTTGTTTTCGTGAGCACCTTACACGTGTGCGACTGTGCGTTTCTCTTTTTGCTGAAATAAAAAAAACAGCAGGATGGTTATAAAAGAACCAGTTCCTTCGGCGCACGTATACTGCGCATGTAGAGCCTGTCGTCTTGAATTTATTAACGAAGCGCCAACTGAATGTGCCCGAGATCCTCTTTGCATGCTGCATGCCTGTACTTTTGGGTAAGCAAGTCACGCCGACGTATATCTGGAGTCTGTTGCTAATGTAGGCTTGAGACCACTCGATGAGGCCTGGCGCCTATTAAACAGGGTGGCCTGACTTGTGCGTAAGCAGGTCACGCCGTCAAGTACTGTACGGCGCCTTGTTACTAATAAAGCCTGCAGCCCCCGTTGAATGCGCCTGCGGCGAGCATTTGTCACGGGCAGCGGTTCAGTCACGTCCCTCCGTTCTATAGAATGCCCACCGGTCATTCGCTGCATACCACTGCACGATTGCATGCCGAGTCTGAAACGTTAAACGCCTACGTGGCACGCTTTCTTACTCGCTTGTTCTTCTCTCGTTGTGTGGCTTCATGGCGCGGCTCCAGCTAGCTGTTTCAGTTATGTCGCCTGGCATCCAAACTCTAGCTGTAGTTCGCTGTTTGGCCATGCTGTGAATATTTTGCGAAAATCAGGCAGTATAGATCTCGAGCACTCGGAAATAAAAAGAACGAAAAGTTTTTTGAAATAACGATGTAAGACAGCAACAACAACAAAAAAACATTACGAGAGCGACAACACTGCGCTATAGTATTACTGAAAAATGAAACAACACGATGCTTCGTTGCTTCATATGTCAGCTTTCCGGCTGGACGACCTTTTCTTTGTTAAATTTTGTTCTACCCAAACAGCTTAACTTTACGCGCTAGAGCAATAAATAAATGTGGTGCGACAGCACTTCAGCCAGCGAAAGCGTTGTTTAGCGTCTGTCATTTTTTAATACGTCAATTGCACATATCTTAGCATATTCAGTATTTATAAAAGCGATTTGACAAGATGTCAATATAAGCTAGCCACTGTGGAATCTTTCGCCAATACTTTCCTCGAGTGGCGGATGACGAAAGGGCCAGAAAGAGTTATATATTCAGCCCGAAAAACGTGCATGAGGTGCAGTGAATGCTCGAGTGTGGCGTTTCTAGCGAACGGAGTGGCGGTATATAGTAGGGGTGGTGTCGGCGTGGCTTGTGTCCCAGTTGACCAACTGCTCCAAAACCGAAGTACTTCAACAGCCCAGCAGTCCGTGAACTACGACTACTACTACTACGCGGCGGAGCTGGGGTTCTCGGCGGCCTTCGCGGAGGTGAGTATACGATTTCCTTTTCTTTCTTCTTAAAAATTATTCCGCTTTGCATGGGCTCCATTGCATTACATATAGTGAAGACGTATGCAGAATTTTCACACAAGAACTAGAGTTATCGCATCTCATTTACATTGCAGAGCTGTTGTCGATAAGTGATGCGTAAACGACTGTTCGCGAAACTGCGTCATAAACGCATTTGCCTAAGTAGAAACAGTGACTGCACTTTGTGGTGCGTGCCCACTTGTATACCATATTTTTAATTTTTATTCAATACACACTAGCGGGCGACATGATTTAGGCACAATATTTTGCTTTCTAAAGTAATACAGGTTTTGTCGTTTCATATTGCCTCACCAAGATCGAATTTGAAGACTTACGTCTTTTAATGCACGGCAATAGTTAGAACGAACAGACATGAAAGTCAAAAAAGTATAGGGTATAGTATTTGTACTAATTATCGTGTAGCTTAAATGGGAATAAAGTAAAGTAGACGAAAAAAAGATAAGTTGCCGCTTGCAAAGACTGAACCTGTGACCTTCAAATAACGCGTCTGATATATACTCTATCAAAGATACAGAGATGGTCATCCGCCCCCCCCCCTCCCTCCGTCCACTTTATAGGGTATATAAGTGTATTAAAATGTGTTAGTGATGCAAGGAACCATGATGATGAGTGCGGATTTTGCCTCGTGGTACCACGAATCACGTGATATTTTTACGAGCTCCCACGTGGAACCTTCCGCACGCGAATCATAGAAAATTACTGCGTAATATTGCTTTACTTTTGCTGCTCCTTTTTTTCTGTTTTATAATATTTTTCATTTGTGTTTTTTTACTCATACTCGTCAAAGTCTTCGTCATTTTTTTTCCCTTCCTCATCTTCTTTCTTCTTTCTCCCCTCTAATCTTTGTTTCCTCTGTTTCTTCCCTCCTCCCGAAAGAGTGAGCAGGCTTTGTGCCCCTCCAGGTGGCAGTTGCCAGCTTGCTAACTCTCTCTCTTTCTCTCTGTGTCCTTGTGTATCTGTGTATGTAAATCAAATAATAATAATAATGAATAATAATAATTGCTGCTGAGAAAAGCAGTTCCCCGGCGATAATAATAATGCGTTAATTAATGGGTGCTTTTATATTTACAAAAACATAAATAACGTGGACGTATTTTCGTTCCCATGAGTAACTGCCGTAAGAGCACGCCGTTTATCATTCCACATTTTTTTTTGCCTCATCTATGCGATTAAATTGCGATTAATGAGCTGTATGGGGTTGATCCCAGTGTTTCTTGTCTTTGTTCTGCTTGTCCTCTCAACCAGGACGGAAAGCTAGTCCTTGGAATTCCAGGCTTCTACAACTGGGAAGGTATGTTAAATGCTCCCCCCCCCCCTTTTTTTCTTCGGTGTATTTTTTAAAGCCGAGCTTGAAAAGAGTCGATGTTTGCAGCGTAGCAAAGCACGTATGTGCCATCCAGTGCACTAAACAAAAGGCACAGTTCCACTGCAAAGACCAAGCAATGAATGCGATATTAACACGTTGAAATATCACGAGAAGAACGACAAGCAGATGAAAACGTGCAGCGCGCCACTTAAAAACGAAGGATGCACGAAAAGAACTAACACAGGAGGAGCCCGATCGTTCACGTGCTGCTCAAGCACAAAGTACGCACGAAACTGGCGCACAGATATACACAAGACGAGCGCGAAGTGTCACAGTTGTTACTTCACGGCGTTTCAACAGCGCGCCTCCTTTACGAACAGGGGGCCTGTGCAGCGAGTGAAGTGACTTTTGCGTGATCTGCATCTATATAACCGCAATTTTTCCGTCGAAAGCAGACGACGTACAAACTGCCCGCATCATGTTATATGCTCGAGCGCGCAGCGCACATGGGTGACTACGCCCAGGACAACAAAGTGCACGTTCACGAGAAAACGCGTGACTTCAGGCCACCTCGCTGATATTTACCGCTAGTGGCAAATGGTAAATGGTGGCTCGCTGTTAGTATGCTGAAGGGCGTGCACTTCTGTGACCGAGAGGTCACATAGTATAGCGGAGGTGAGTGGAGGTATAGGAGGCGAGTTAGATGCAGGAGACGTGCAGCTTGTCAAGCGAACAGAATGACTAGCGACGATGCTGACTGGGTGCGAAGCGGGCGTGGGAGAGGGCAATCCGCAGCGTCTCCGCGAGTGCAAGTTGTGGGACGTTAGTGATCACGTGATCGTCCTTCGCGGCGTTAAGTCGCCGAAGTGGGCCCCTCAGCTGCGCGTTGTCAGTTAAAGCGAAAGCTATTTTTTTACAGAACCGGGGAAAGATGGAAGAATAGGAAATAGAAAAAAAAAGTCAAAGTGCCTTATTTTGTTATGATTTTTTGCGCTTATACTGAATTGTGTAAAATCTGCGCAACATACAATGGCGGCAATGAAACTGGTGCCACTCGTAAAAAGAAAGAACTATATGATCACACAAACTTACTTTTTCCCCTTTACTGTGCAACCATGCGTTATGGATGTCTGTTGTTTCTTCTGCAGGTTCCATAACGCGCTACAACCAAAACCATCAACTCACGAGTCATCACATGCTTCTGGGCAGAAAACAAAAAGATTCGTACAAAGGTACCTGAAACTTTTTTATATTCATTGCGCACAATAAATGACAACTATTTTAACATTCTAACAGTTGCGATCCTTTGATTGTGCGTCATAAGAAAGACGAAAATCTTTTATTAAATTTCTAGCTTCTACGTGTCTGAAACGTTTACGTTCTTTCTGTTTACAGGCTACGCCGTCACTACGGGAAGGTTATTTCAAGGACGCGAACTTACCGTCGCCGCTGGGTCACCGCGTGGCGGCGACTACAAAGGACAGGTGAGCACAGAACACGTACATTAGTGAGGGAGGTTCGCTAACCAGCCCATAAGGGGCAAAAGTGCAATCGTTATCGAAACGACAATATCTCTGAGAAACTCGAGCGCTTACGGACTATCTTATTTGATAAAAATAAAAACAGAAGCTCTTACTTTATCGGGAAAAATGGGAGCTCGCGAGGCTTTGTGTTGACGCGCCTGCCCTACGATTTTTCTTTCTTTGCGTGGGCGTGGTTGGCACCGTGCTCAACGACTCACGTTTCAACGCCGGCACCGGAACGGGAGATCGTGATTTCACACCAAGGCAACAGTCAAATGTGACAACGTCAGAGTGGCTATTGACCTCGATTAGAGGTCAGATTATATAATATGGGAAACCGCTGATCGTCGCCGAGCCCATGATCAAGAGAGCGTCAGTTATTTGAAAGGAAAGACGCATACAATAGACTTATTCCATGTTTCTAAACAGGGGTATACGTGTCGTCGACCTACTGAGGCGCTTGTAGTAACGTCGTGGCGCGCAGGCTCCGCCCAGCCCAAAGCTCGCCCCCCTACGACCACGTAACAACTTGCACAGTATATAGCTGCGAAGCTGCCTCCGAGAACCACGTCGGGGTGCCTCCCGCGCGTGCATTTGTCCAGCCACCATGGGAACGATGGGTGTAGTACACGCGAACTCACCTGGTCTTCTTGCTTGTAGCTTTATTCCTTGTTGTGTTTTGGTTTTGTATCGGATAAAACAATGAACTTATGTGAGCTTTGTGGGCTGATTTGAATTGGTGAGCCTAAATAGGTTAAGGTTGTGACAGTGGAGTTCCAACGCTTTCGTGAGGGGGGGGGGGGGGGCAAACCTACCGCACTCGTCGTATATATATATATATATATATATATATATATATATATATATATATATATATATATATATATATATATATATATATATAAGGGAGAGAAGTGTATACATAAGGGCTCGTATTTCCGTGTTTTAACACAATATTAATGAAATATAACAGACAGTAATGCCAAGGAATGTACAGGGGAAGTTATTAGAACCAATGGAATGTAAATAAGAAAAAAGAAGAAAGAAAAGTGGTTGCAAAAATTACCAGCTGTGAGCAGGAATCGAACCTACGACCTTCGAATAACGCGTTCGATGCTCTAACCACTGAGCATCGAACGCGTTATAACCACTGAGCATCTATCCACTTTTTGGGGTTTATATGTGAATTTAGAAGTAGGAGTGACAGTCAGCGCCATCTATAAGCCAAACAACGTGTGTGAAAACACTCTTATTCGCATGTTTGGCGTCACGTAGCACGTGAACTTACTATGAGCGGGCAGCTGATTAATTGTCCCTCTTATACAACCTAAACACACGAAGTCTGCCAGTACGAGACCCTCGTTCAATGAAATAAGGGAGAGAAGTGTATACATAAGGGCTCGTATTTCCGTGTTTTAACACAATATTAATGAAATATAACAGACAGTAATGCCAAGGAATGTACAGGGGAAGTCGGGCAATCTTGGGTGGCCCGACACACGTCGAGAACTGAAGAGCACGTGATAAGAAACGTATGTGGACGTACACGGAAAGTTGGTTTCGTTCTCAGTGTTGACAGTGGTTCTTCCGCTTTTTTACTTTCTTTCTTTTCTTTCTTTTTTTCTCCCCCACCCTGTATTTTTCAGTTCCCTCTCACTCTCGCAAACATGTTTCAAGGCGAGAGGGACGCGGCAGCAACGAAGTTTGGAAATTCATGTCAGTATAACTCATCCCTTGATGAAGGGAGGACCCCTCCCGAAACTGTTGGGAAATAAATATATTTATCCTTGTTGGCAACGCTCCCGTTGTGCCATATCCTATATATATATATATATATATATATATATATATATATATATATATATATATATATATATATATATATATATATATATATATATATAGAGAGAGAGAGAGAGAGAGAGAGAGAGAGAGAGAGAGAGAAGAGAGAGAACTTCCCTTCATTCACGCCGCTCGCACTTTAATGTGACTTTTCATACACAGAGAATTTGAACAAAAGTGTAAAAAAAAGACACTCACCTTTAAGCAGCATGCACTTGTACAACACACATATGCATGTAGTAGCATTACACGCGACAATTTTATAATACCTCACAACTTTCCGCATGAATACAAATATGTCGATGGTGGCCTCGATTCCCAACATTATATATTTTATCATACAATCAAACTTTTTAATTGCGAAGTTTTTATATGCGAAGCAATTTCTAGGGAACCAAAGGTACTTTGGGTACCTTTATCTACTTATCCACCTATCTGGTTTCCTACGTCTTGGTGCTCTCGTAGTTGCCACATTATTTTAGTATAGTACGAAATTGGCATAAGGGGCACAAAGACATGACGAACTTAAGTGTCTGGTCACGACATCAATAACGCGAAAACCGTGTCGCGTCCGTCATGAAACTTTCCTTCAGTCATGTGTGTCGCATACCCATATAACACGGGCGGTGGTATGAGCCTTAAAGTTTGTATCTTCCCAGGAACGGTGACCACAGACGTGGGCAATTTAAAGGCGAGAGCTTAAAAAAAATAAAAAAACCGCCATCTGCAGCGTTGATGCGACGAGTGGAAATAATGAAAATACAGCGCATGTACATTAATCAGTGCATTCACGTGCTGTATAGAACTTTTCGGAATCGGAATAGCCGGAGAGCGTCTAATTCAAATATATAGGCTAGTCGCCGATCACATTAGCAGTGCCTATCTATAATGCAAGGTGTTTCAAGAAATGTGTCCAATATTCTTTAAAAATTACAGAAAGGAGGTATCTACGCGCTACTAGCGGCGTGGCCTTCCTGTGGCAGAAGGCATCGTCAAGTGGGTACAAACATAATTGTAGTAGTAATTATAGAAATTGACACAATCAACTTTTTAACTAGTGGTAATAGCCGGCCGAGTCAAATGGGCACATTCAGGCCTTTCCTACGAATACTCCATAGCCACTTTGAAATTTGGAAAAACGGCTGTCATGTAGGCCATTCATAAGATTCGGTTTGATTTGGTTTGCTTTTTTTCTTTCTCTTCCGTGCTCATAGTACGATAAGGAAGTCGGTATTTAATACGACTGATGGTGATACTTTTGACCCATCGGAACGTGTCCTGCTCTATCATGCCCTTACGGTTGTATGTAACACGCCCAATCACACGTGAGATCTACTGTAGCGCGCTTTTAAGTATCTTGAGTGTGTGCAGACATCTAATTAGCTTGCCGGCTCATACCTACTACTCTTGCGGTATCTTTTTTTTCCGGAATGGTATCTCCTTCGAATATGACTTCTTCCAATCTTAGATTCGGCCCTAATTGTTGGTTTCCCCAGCGTGCAGCCAACGGTGACCACTGTCAAAAGCGGGGGGTGCAGTTATACTTCACCACACACCTATACGCTTATAGGTGGTGAAGTGTAACTGGTGGACGTTTACTGAACTTAGTTTTGCGACAACGCGGCTCCAGGCCACACGAAGCCAAACAGAGCCGAAAGAACGAAGCTTAGAAGTATCCGCATCCGCGTACTACCCATAATTCCCATGCTCGCTGATGCGCCGTGTCCTGCAGCTCCCATAGACACTAGCGCCAGAGTTCCCTCTAGTGTGCTCATATGAAACTATATATGTGCTCAATGAATCGATTCGTTCCGGCGATGGCGGCACGTTTTCCGCATATGTTAGAGCCGTTGAGATTTCACAGCTGAGATATATTTCGCAGCGATGAATTCTGTGAAACTATACGACGCCACCACCGAAATCATTACAGGCTTCGCTTCAAAGCATTTAAATCGGTGTGGCGTGAGTACTGTCAGGAAGACAACTATATGATTGCACGGCGGGCTTGTTGGTTATTCGTAGTATCTGAGGTATAGCGCATCCAAGACGGGATAGAGCAGAAGACGCATAACACAAACACAGCGCTAAATTTGAACAAAAAAAAAGTTTTTGCGTGTGGTGATCCAGAATTATAGTGGTAGCGGTATGCATAACTTTAACATACCCCACATGTTGGAAACACCATGCGGCTATGTGAATGAGTGAATGAACAAACATTTTTTAGGCCCAGCAAAACGCGATAAACGCGCACCTCGGTAATCCCACGACGGTATCGACAAGTCTAAGATCGCAAGTTTCCCTGCATATTGGCAACGAGTGTACGTGGAAACTGTACACAGATAACGCGAGAGATAGAATTGAGGGTAAGAAAACTTGCACACAGTTTGTGGTCGATAATGTCACATGATAGCTTGTGAGTTTTCAAATTATTCGTAGACGAAACTGTCATGTGAACTTACACTTGGTTAATCGACGTAACGCGTTTTAAAACACAGGACAGGGGAAGGGACAGAAGGGAGTGCTTACTTCCATTCTTTCTAAAATAGAATGGAAGTAAGCGCTCCCTTCTGTCCCTTCCCCTGTCCTGTGTTTTAAAACGCGCTACGTCGATTAAGTATGTCTTACCAACATGCCCAACTTTATACTCTAGTCAATTACACTTGGTGTTCCTATTGCAGACGTGCACGATGCCCATTCAGTCGCAGGATTTTTTTATTCTTGCTTGCTTTTGTACACTCTATTTTCAATCAAATAATGAAACAGCCTTACTGATTATTGTGCTCGCTCCAGATCACACAATTGTTCTTAGTAATTCAACATTTCTATCAGTCAGATAAGCGGTACTTGGTGTACCGGACACCCGGAACGTGCCTCGTTAGTCTTGCTTTCTTTTAACGCAGCCGTGCATACAAAGAACTTGCTCTTCGATTTGACAGGTGTTTCTCTTCAGTATCGATGGCCCCGGCAACGATCGGGGAGTCGTGATCAGGAGCCTTCTTTCCGGATCTCAGGTGAGCCTCTTCTTAGCACCCACGGTCTTCCAACGTTGCAGTGCGCATCCGTAATAGGTGTTAGTTGTTTTTCTTAAAATGGCGGTTTACCGTACCATAATTAAGGCGCTACACTACGTGGTCGTGGTTGGCACGCGGCCGTTCTAGTCTGCAAGATCTGTATTAATTGTATTGCATCGTCTCATCTCGCTATACAACGTGCTTTGAGCATCTGGCTCAGCCAAAGCACTTTCGACTCGCGATACAAGCTAAATTAAAACTGTAAGCCGGGGCGCAAAATGCATTTCATTACTTGTGTCGACTAGCAGACGCAGCAAGTTTGTCGTGCCGGCATGAAAAGAAATTCTTTTTTGGGCGCCTGTTTCAGCAGCTCCGTCGGAGAGAATGCACTGATACGCAGAGGTATGACGTTAACGTTGTTTTAACGGCTGCCAACACGTTTTAGATAAGACTTGTGCTGCTGTGCAGTAAAAGAATGAGCGAGAAAAACATCAAGAAGCGGACCGGTACTTGTTTCGTAAAACACACCGACAAATTCGCCAATTGCCGTGTATACAATTAGGTGCAGTAGAATATAAGGTCTCTTTAAGCTGTGGTCGCTTGTATACGTATAGGACAGACGGGCCACTGCATTAACCAGAGATTATTGGAACGTACGAGATCGCTAACCGGAATCTCACCTTCTAATCTTTACATTGTCGAGAGTGTATAGTGCGCGCCGAAATTCGATGAACGCGCAGTTTTGTACCGGCACTGGAATGAAGAGAGGTGTTTTATAATTGAGGCATGACATATCAATTATAACGGTAGTGCATGTGTTAGCTAACCGTCGAATGACATGCATAAAGAAGAAATCAAATGTCACAACAGTTATATTTCACCACTACGTGTGCCAGATTGATAGGTTCGCGTATTGAACGCATGGGCATGCGCAGATAAGTACCTTTTTTTCTTTTCCCGTTGTGCGCTTCTTCAGTTGTTATAGTAGCCTTTGTGGGGCCCCGACTTCCTTCTTGGGTCCGTGCTTGGACGCCCTGTCTCTTTTAGAATTCGCTGATACTTGGCGTAAGCTATATATATATATATATATATATATATATATATATATATATATATATATATATGCGCTGCTTGCAATGTATCGGGGTATGATTGCCTTTCTGTGTCGACATCGGCTCTTGCTCGTTGGCGCGTTGCTTTCCTCCCCAAAAATGGCCGAGCCTCATTCGACGTAAGTTTCACGATTCGAAAGCATTACGACGGATTTTCGGAGGTTTCGGCGTCCGGGTTCTGTATGCTTTTCGCCACTGATATGCTCCGGCTGCCGTTGTTTGTGGTGATGATGATAAGGATGACGGTGATATAATTATACATTACATCTAGGCTTGCTCGTCTCTCCCTGTACGTACAGATGTGCGAGTATTTCGGTTCTTCGCTGCTGGCCACTGATCTCGATGGGGACGGCATTGACGATCTGCTGGTGGGCGCCCCCATGCACAGCATACCAGACGGACAGGATGAAGGACGTGTCTACGTCTACCGAAGCAACGGAGTTGTAAGTGCCTGACAGGGGTCATTTTTTTCTTTTTGCTAGCTTTTTTTACCTCCTGTTCTTTACATAACATTAGTTACCGTTCTTTCATGAAGAATTATAAATTTGACACTATAACCACCACCAATATTCTATTTGAGTCAACACTAGCACAATAGGCCTCAAACACAGATCTCCTGGTAGGTTTTCACCTGTCTTATGTCACAGAACCCGTACCTGAACGTTCCATCTGCACCCTCTGCTGTTTTTATATGTTCTTTACTTCCCTCTAAACCAATTTTGCGACACAATGAGACCGTAGCTGCTCAGCATTGCTCAACAGCGCATTGTTTTTAAGTTCATTTTCAATCTTCAAACATTCTTTCGAATTTCTTTGACATCCTTCCCGTTTCAACCCCTCCTATCATGCATCTGTAAAGCGAAAGCGGTGGCATTTTCATCATTGTAATTGATTGATTTGTGGGGTTTAACGTCCCAAAACCACAATATGATTATGAGAGACGCCGTAGTAGAAAGCTCCGGAAATTTCGACTACCTGGCGTTCTGTAACGTGCATCCAAATCTGAGCACACGGGCCTACACCGTTTCCGCCTCCATCGGAAATGCAACCGCCGCAGCCGGGATTCGATCCCTCGACCTGCGGGTCAGCATGCAGCCGAGTGCCTTAGCCACTAGACCACCGCGGCGGGGCTTTCATTATTGCAGTCTATACAGAAGTTGTATCAGGAGCAGGATGGTCGTTCAAGCCCCATGTTCGCGTTAGTATAATGGAAAAATATTGTCTCAAAGCGCCCAACATTCGCTTTCTCTTCGAAGGGACTGTATGCTTCCGGCTATTTGGAGGGACACCGAGCCACGGCCGCCCGCTTCGGAACCAGCATCGCCAAAGTCGGCGACCTTAACAAGGACGGAATTCAAGGTGCGTCGACGGAGATATACATTACCACGCGCTAAACAAGTTATGATATATGCCTTGATAAAGCTGGCATTTTCATGGAACAACAAGCAATAAAAATAAGATAAACAAGGTAAGCATAAAGGTAAACGAGGTGAAACAGACAACAGATTAACAGTCTCAAAGTAAACAGAAAGACGCGTCTTGCCAGTTCTTAATTTCTCAGTGAACTAATATAGCCACTAGCTGATTGTCGATAATCACAAACGTGACAAAATTCAGCCAGTACAGCACCTTGGTTATAGGCCGCGCAATTTTTAGTGTGTGGTTAGTTTAGACGTCTTATGGGAGTATTATAAGAACGTTACAATCCTTATGATAATAGATAGAAGAAAGAGAGAAAGAGATAAAGATGCAAGGAAAGGCAGGCAGGTTAACCAGACACACATCCGGTTTTCTACCCTGCACTGAGGAATAGATGAAGGAGAAAAAAGAGGTTGCAGAGAGATAAGAAAGGTACACACAATCACGAGCACACTCGGGGAGCACACACAGTCTGCAGGCGGTCGCTCAGGTTTGTTGTCATTCAAGTAATGTATAGGAGTGCTTTAGTCACTTTCTGCGCAGTTGAGGCAGACGCCCAAAGTGCCAGAATCCCAGAGAATGGTCTATAGAGTCCAGTTGGTTCAAAACCATCCGGAGCTGGCATCGCTGTGTGTCGTAGCAAGCGCAGCTTCACAGGACGTGTTAGATGGTCTCTTCAGTTCCGCCGGGTAGATAGAAATGTAGCGTCAATTCATTGTTTCTTGCGTGTTAAGGCATTAGAGTAAAGAGATGAGATATGGACTCGTATCCGCTTGCATATTGCCAGTGTTTCGAAAGTGTACAGAGATGCGAGTCATGCAGTCTCAACCAACATCACTTCGGCGCCGAGTGAGATAAGAGCGGAAATGGGAATAGCAAACGTGCAAAGCAAATTGATATCGTGCGGGAAGCGGCGACGATTGCGCATGCGCTTTCATCGCGGCTGTGTCTTTAAGCGCGAGCGTGATTCACGGATTCCGGTATATGTGGGATGTTGCTATCGCGATGTGTCACCGGTGGGTGCTAACCTCCTGCATCACTCATGCCTGCAGACGTGGCCGTAGGCGCGCCCTACGAGAACGACGTCGGAGCCGTGTACATTTACCATGGGTCGCCCACGCTTGGTGACAGGACCGTCTATGCACAGGTAAGCTAAGAGGCAAGAGCGTCCCATGACGAACGACTACGTATACGGCATACACCTTACAAATGTTGCCCATCGAAGTTCAATAGACTCTGAGAAACCTGTACGTCAGGGGTGTTGTTCCTTGGGCTTGCTGGGAAAGCATAGCGTGTTTCTTTTTGTTTTTTTACACGCCTGAAAAAAAAAACAGGAACACTATGACGCACACACTGTGTTTGTGATTTTGTGTGTGTCTCAATGTATCCTCGTTTATCAAGTGCGTCCAAAAATACAGCGTTCTGCGTATTGGAGCTTCAATTTGTAAATTCACGGAGATTTGAACGTATGTGGCCCCGCAGCGGTGGTGCTATGGTACTCGGCTGCTAACGCGCAGGTCGCAAGATCGAATCCCGGCTGCGGTGGCTGCATTTCCAATGGAGGCGAAAATGTTGTAGGCCCGTGTGCTCAAATTTGGGGACACGCTAAAGAACCCCCAGGTGGTAGAAATTTACGGAGCTCTCCACTACGGCGTCTCTCGTAATCAAGTTTTCTTGAAATTGCTTCAGCGTCTACCAGCTCTTCTATTTTCGCTTGTCAACCGAACATATCATCTTGGTCCTGTCATGATTGCTTCTTTTGTTGTTGCTGTTTTTGTTGTTGTAGACCTTTGCTTGGATATGTACGAACTCCAGGTTGGACACGTTTTATCAGGTGCGCTTGCGTAAGACGCTATTCATCGCAACCATTACAGCACAGAGAAACGCTTCACGCGACACTACGCAGCATATCTGCGCACTTACCTCGACGGACACAGACAATGGCCATGAAAAAGCAAGTGAAATAAGTTTTCTTTTCTATCACAGAAACACACAGGCAACCTTAACAGGTGTATAGAATAATGATTGTCGGACTTTCACGTCCGAAACACGAATGCGAGGGGATGCCGACGCCGTAGTAGAGGGCTCCGGAAATTTGTTCGACCTGCGGGTCTTTAATGTGCTCCTCAGTTGATTAATGATATCTGGAAGTTTACGTCCCAGCACGGCAATATAATTATTAGAGATGCCGTATTGCAGGGCTGTGAAAGTTTTGGTATTCTTTAACGTGCTCTGGCAGTACAAAGGCCTCTATAGCATTTCCCCTCCTTCGAAATGTGACCTCCGCAGCCGAGACCGAACACACGATCATCAGGTCGGCAGCCGAGACCCATAACCACTGCACCACCGCGGCGGACTTGCTCCTAAATATACATGTGTGTGTGTGTGTGTGTGGCTGAAGTTCGATCCAGAGACCATCGGGCACCATAAGCACACCAGCGGGTTGTGTATAGGAAATTCATATGAGAACGTAATGCGCGCTCTTGTTAAATATGTGGAGAGAGAGAGAGAGAAATACTTTAATGGGAAGCTGGAGAGGTTTGCTTGGTTTTTCACCTGACAGGCTACTCCAGTTGCCGGGTGATGACAGTGATATATACATTGATAAAGACACAACAAATACAGTTACATACACGCATAACAGTCACATAACACATAGTCACTCACACGCATTGCACTAAATATGCGGACGCAGAACTTGAACAATATATTTTATGGCTCATGCGGGTACCACACTGATGTTTGCGCGGTGAACGCGTTTAAACTTGGGCAGCAGGGAGAGAGAGAGAGGGGGAAGCAAGGAAAGGCAGACAGGTTAACCAGACGCACGCCCGGTTCGCTACCGTGCGTCGGAGAAATGGACGAAGGGGTGGTATGGCGAAAATGCGGGGCTCAAGAAGTGCTTGATATCTACAAAGTTTATATCCATCCTCCGCCCGCTGTTAATGAAATAATAAATGAATGAATTCATTGATGCATTCACCTTTGCTGTCAATATGTCGAGTGACAAGTGAAAAAAGTACCGGAATAAAATGTGGCTAATAAAGGGCAAGCATGCAGGTCAAATAACTCCTTCTTGCCAACTTTTAGAAGTTTTGTTTTGATATTGATATAGCTAAGTATAGTAAGTTGTCTCTTTCGGTCTGCCACCTTTGAATCTTGCGGACATTTACTCCTTTTCTTTTTATCTATTTCCGTTCTATTATTCTCCTTTTCCCCCACCCCAAGTGTAGGGTAGCCAACCGAGCCAAGCTTGGTTAACCCCCCTGCCTTTCCTCTCTATTTATCTCTCTCTCTCTTTCTTAGCCAATGGCTCTTTCTTCGTAAGATAATCACACAGGTAAACTTACAATTTACAAATAATTATTTTCCTTTGCATCTTGCGGACATTTAGCCAGTGGTCTTTTTTTTTCATAAGAGAATTGCACAATTAAATTTACAATATACAAATAATTATTTTAGCAAACTCCTATCTCTACCCGGACAAAATGAAAAAAAAAAATGATGGGTGAAAAGAGAGATGATGGATGATTACATGGTGAGCGTTGTGACCAAGTGACTGTCGCAGTACACCAATGACATCTATCAATCATATCTATCAATCGGCGCTAACTCGCCATGGGCTCTTGTCCTGTTACTGTATGATTATGCTCGTTAATTACCTCAACTTGCGCCTTTGTCGGGATCGACTATAGGGAAAAGACGATGTCGAAGTTTCTGCACCGCATCGTTTCACATACAGGACGTCTGGGTCGTTAACGCGCACTAAGAAACCAAGGCATGAATCGTCTTATTAGATACGCACAAGTTCTTTTCTTTTTTTTTCTTTTTACTGCGGCTCGCTAAGAACCTTGAAATTTCAAACTTCCTATGCTATTTCCATATTTCTTCATTTTACTCGGGTGTTTGCGTTTCTTGCGCACCGCATGTATAACAAAAGCGAGCAGAGACCAGCAATTTTGGTAATTGACGTGGCTCTATGTATATGAGAATATGAGATCCCCATGTTGTTTCATTTTAACAGCGTGAATTGTTTATGAAAATGTAACCCACTCCTGCAATACCCCTGTATAGGGATGCAGTATTTGAAAATAAATAAATAAATAAATAATAAATAAATATTGCGGGTCTAAATGTGAAACTTCACAGTTACCTTGACGGAGCAATCTTTTCCACCTCGTTCTTTTGTTCTGCGTGCGCAGAGGATAGACGCGAGTGCCGTGTCGTCACGCATCGGGACGCCCTTGAAAGGGTTCGGCATCAGCATCTCCAAAGGGATGGACGTCGACTCGAATCACTACGACGGTGAGCGAGCTTGTGAGACGTTTTTTGTGAACGACATATAAATAACGTGTCTTAGCGGGATCCATCGTTATATATACATTCACTTTCGTGGAAAACGGCAAACGTTTGCTGACGCCTGTATAGTTACTTCATTAATTGTAATTAATTGTAACTTAATTGTAACTATTAAGGCGACAGCCTTGATACTTCGTGAAACGCGAAAATCGACGACGTCTTCCCACGAGTGGCACAAAAAATAAAATCACGTGATGACGGCACCGTATATGACGTTACAATAACGTCACAGACCGCTCAGTTTTGTCACGTCATCATGACATCACTGTAGCGTCACATAATGTGGCATCACGTGGCGACGGCATCCTATGAAATGGTTGCTTGGTCAAATGCAGGCCTGGTCCTGGAGATCTTGTTATAGAGCACGTGTGGTTGCAGAAAGCGTTTGGAGTGGGGCGTGGGAAGTTGACTCAGAAGATGAAGACGCATTTCGCTGTCAAGTTCACTGAAACGGATGCCTGAGAGCACCCGGTGATTTTTTAGGAGTTTCAAAACAGTATGCCATCGTCGATTAGAGCTAGACTACATGAAACAAACCAGTTGGAAGCTTTATACCATAAAACTATTGCACGGCACTGACAATCCTTCCCTGGTGGTTTGATATCTTTTTTTTTTATTGCACTGTGCAATGGTAATTTGGGAATTCAAATATTCTTGCAATATTATGGCCTGCTGAGACGTCACAGCAGCTGATTAATAATTTATTTATGCATTATTAAATGTGGTTATAATTTTTTGATTAAGTTCACGGTCATCGACAAATAGCCGTATAGTTCAGAAAAAAGCGAGTATAGAAAGTCCAATCATATACAATAATTGAAAGCTGATGCACTTTTTCAAAAAAAAAAGTGATTTTGCAATCAGTAATGTTTTGGTACCCGCTGAATCTGAAAACCGACGTAGAAGCTCTCAACTATGAACGAAAATCGCATTTCCCGCCAAATAAATAGCGGCCAGGGCTGCAGGCTTTTTTGAGATTGTGAGCGAACACTGTGACGTCACCTTCGGTACGCCGCGCCATCTGCCTTCGAGATTAGCTCCAGCAACGACATGCAGCCGGATACTGTCACGGATGCCACGGCATGAGCTACGAGCATGGTGCAACGCGGCCTCACCAAAGGAACTGAAGATGACGTAGTTTCGGCTATTCGTTTGCACGCCTACACATTCGACCAGCTCGCGTGAGTGGAGCAGGAAGCTTTCCTTTCGCGTATTCTAAACGTCCTGATGCAACAACCGTGAAAAAAAAAAAAACTATGGTATCATGTAACTAGCCTAGTGGCACGTGATCTCTCCCACGTCTTTTCTGGACCAAAGAAGTCATCATCATATCATGGACAAGAATGCTCGTCCCCGTTAATTGCGAAATGTTACGAAGTTTGAAACTGTGCTACTTCAATTTAAGAGCAGACCTCTTGGGTTCCTTTTTCTTTTTCTGTACGGCCCAGCCTCGCTCAACATATCTTTCCTCTCTGTGAACTTGAATAATTCCAGGTGTTACATGACCTATTTCACTTGGATGACTTGATTCATTTTGTTGTACCGGCTTGCATCCAACTGGTGTAGCAGTCAGCCTGTCCTATTCTTCCAAGTTGTTCGCTAACCATGAAACGTCAGAAGACCACGCCCACTCAGGGGTCTTCACCAACCACTGATGAAACACATAAGAAAGATGGTAAAGTCATAAACATGCCTCGTTGTTTCATGCCAATGCCATCCGGGAGGTCTTGTTAGACATGAGGACAACGTCTGCTCGAAGCGCTCTCAAAGTGCTGGACGCCTTAAGCCCAGTACTTGAATCACTCGAGTAGAAATATGGCTAGCGATCGCCATCATTTCTTAGAAGTCAAGGAAGCATGCATCATCACTCAGTGGAACGCTGCAGTGGACTAAAACCGCGTCTTTTCGGACTTTCGTCAGTGCGCGTGAACGTGTTCGAAATCATCAGCATTTGCAAGCCCAACGTGTGTGCGTGCTCTCCTCTCTCTCTCCGTTTTTCCATCTTTCAAACTCCCAAATCGCTATCCCCAGTGTAGGGTAGCATACCGGTCGTTCCAGACTGGTTAACATCCCTGCCTTTCTTTTCCCTCTATTTCTTCTTCTTCCCTGTCAAAGTGTGATTCATTTGGTATATTTTTTATATTTCATTCAACTTTTTTTTTCATTGACAGACGTCCTTATCGGATCATACGTGACAGACAACGCCGTGCTCTTTAGGTGAGTTTGAAAATATCCTGCGTGACCGCCTCACGTTAACAGGCGCTATCTGCTTATCGCTCATTCAATACATGATAGACACTTTTTGTTTATTGGTGCCTAAAAAGTGCGTTTCTTTTTATTCAAGTTATAATGTCGTTTTCAGGTCCCGTCCCATTGCGCAGCTGAGGGGCGTCATCAGGCCCGAGGTCGCAATGATCACTTCCGACATGAACAAATGCGAAGTCGCCGACAAATCGAAATTTGCGTGCTTCAAGCTCACGACCTGCATCGAGTACACCGGAACATTTGTTCCCAATGCTACCGGTGAGTATATGATCTTCAGCGCCTCGATTACACTGGCCACATCCACAGTTGCTTTCAATGTAGTGCCCGTTTTTTTATTATTTTGTTGTTAAGTAACTCCATTATGAGTAATTGCTTGAGGGCAGTGCGGTTAACATGATCTCGTGCCTGGAATCCCACTGTAGTGCATATGTAGCAGCAAAAGAAAAGACAAAGCAGTATCTTAAGGGTTGCCGTGTGGTGTTTAATGTCGATTTAAGCCACGCGTCTGAATAGCTCTGCGGCTAACGTGACACGCTGTTAATTTTGAGGACGCGGGTTTGATTCCTGCCCATGGCGGCCGCAAACTTTGAGGCAAGGGAAAGGCATAAGCACCCGTGTACTTTGATGTAGATGCACAATGAAGAATGCCTGGCAATAAAGATTATTCCGAAGTCCACGAACATGGCGCACCTTATAACGCGGGAGTGGCATGTGAAAAGCATATAATTTTAATCGTCTTAATCTTATCTTTTTGTGAAATGAGTCGTGGGGCTGAAAAATGCATGGGGACGTATGATGATGACCTTTTGTAAATCAGTGGCATTAAAAACAAAGTAGGACACCGCAAAAGTAGTGGGCCACTGCTCAGGTAACAGAGCAGTATCGTGAAACAGTTGTTTCATGGCCTTAACTAAATAAATGAAAAAATGTAATGCAAGAACTAAGATTACAAAGCAAACTGCATGTCATGATGACACCACGCTTGCTTATGTGTTTATTTTTGCGATCGTGCTTCACCGACAACCTCCCATCGCTAGGCACAGGCCACTACGCCACCTTTGTGAAGCACCTCGATGGTACCAGACTATTTTTAGACAAGACTGCGCTCGTCACGCGAGTACCGTATATATAGAAAGCGTCACTTGATTTTCTGTGCACAAGCCTGCCGGATAAAGCGTTTTGTCTTTGACCGCTTGGCTGCCGCCTTCTTGACCGTCAAAAACCGGGAGCAATAAATTGAGTTAGAAACTAAAAGAGATGCGGTGAGGCTAACAGCAAAATTACCCAGTGTTAATATTGTACGGCTCTTATTGCGCTAACACTTGGCCTCGGTAAATATTGCCCCGCCGCGGTGGTCTAGTGGCTAAGGTACTCGGCTGCTGACCCGCAGGTCGCGGGTTCGAATCCCCGCTGCGGCGGCTGCATTTCCGATGGAGGCGGAAATATTGTAGGCCCGTGTGCTCAGATTTGGGTGCACGTTAAAGAAGCCCAGGTGGTCTAAATTTCCGGAGCCCTCCACTACGGCGTCTCTCATAATCAAATGGTGGTTTTGGGACGTTAAACCCCACAAATCAATCAATCAATCGGTAAATATTGCATTCAATTCTGCCTTGTTGTTTTTCTTTGCCCTCTCGCAGATGTGGAGATAGAGTTGACGCTGGACGTGACCCGCAAGATGGATAACCGTCCCGCGCGGGGATTCATGTTCCGTGACCAAAACCGAGTCGACAATTACAGCTCGCTTGTGAGAGCGAGGAGAGGGCACACGACGTGTGAAAGCCGCCTCGTCTATTTAGATGTAAGTTTCGCTTGCCGCATAGAGATATTACAAAGTGTATCTGTGAAAGCACTGTATATGAATGAATGAATGAATGAATGAATGAATGAATGAATGAATGAATGAATGAATGAATGACCGGGGTTGGGCCAACATTTTTTTTTACACTGAACGGTGTGTATGGCTAAGCGAAGCGAAAAACAAAATTGAGGATTCCTTAAGTTTCTTCTTTAAAAGTTGAGCGCAATCGCGATATTCTGACCCTAGTGCATTCTGAGTAATGGGTAACATGATTTAAACATCCAGTAATTATCTGCGTGAAATCTTTTCGAACTTGCCATGCCCCACTCTACGAAGTCTCTACGCGTCGCAACGTGTGTGCCTTTTGTAGTGATAGGTCAGCTTTAAATGACGAGTAATCACTTCTCATCACTCCCGATGGCAATGGAAGCTTGTACCACGCAATATCACTGCCAGATCACACGTATAGTGAAGCCTGTATACAAAACGCGTGTGTTTGTAAAGCATCATTGGTTAACATCCCTTTCTTCGTTGTCTCGATTCTCTCTCCTGTAAAACATGAAGGTCATTTTCACCACATTTCCAAACAGAGGCAAGTTTTTTTTTTTTTTTCGTTGTAGTTACAAGCAGAAGAGTGGCTATGTGGTAGAACACGCGCTTGTCCACGGAAAGTACTCTGGTTCGATCCCCATTGAAATCCGGAAATTTCTACGATTTATGCTGTTATTTACATCATTGTTGATTTTTGGTAATGCACAAGATGATGATTTTTTTGCTCACAACCAACGACGCTGACGCCAGAATTTCTGCGGAACGAGCTCTTAACGCTCTAGAGTTAAGATACGTCTGTCTTGGTGCTGCTAGAAACTTTTCTATTGGCTGCGCCGTCAGTGACAGTCGTACTCTACGTCTTTCCCAAGCACGTGCGCCACTGGCTGCCCTGTCTGACGTCATTCTCTCTGTCGTACCCAAGCATGCTTGCCATGGTGGGCAAATGCTTGGAGGAAGCTGGTGATGCGGGCAGAACAGCGTCAACGGGGCCACGGCGCGAACGCATTCGCCGGAGCCACCGCCCGCTTCCGGCGGAAGTTACTCGAGCGGCACTTCGGCTGCGGTGTTTCGGCTCAGACGATCCCGTTCAGTGCGCGTCTGCCATGTAGTACGCAATGAGCAACACGGTGGTGTTCGACGACGCAGCCGTGAACTCAACGCGTCTCGCCGAAGGCACGCAGTACCGATAGCCATTACTCCCGGAGAAGGGCAGGTATCCTTAATGCGATCTTTACAACGAGCATGCTCTGGAGTTCTCGTTTCCGCAGATATACTTTGGCATAAGCGGAAAATCACAAGTGCACACGATGCGCCGTTCTCCGAAGCTACCAGTGAGATACGGGGCTTGGAACGTCGAGGCGTGGAACCGGCTCACATTTTTTGTACAAGGCCATGTAAGTGATCCGATTCAACATCGTCGGAAAGACCGTCACATTCCATATCCACAATGTCAAGAGCACCATGCATCCCTCGCCAACAACTACAGAGATCGGGGACATCGTGAGAGTTGCGTTTGACCAAATCATGACGTCCATACGTAGGATCCCACTCACGGTCCATTTCTGGCAGGAACGCAAGAAGGATGTGTCCGCAACGACAAGGCAACAGGGCAGGTTAACGGAGTACGTAACTTTGTCTGTCTCCGAAGTCCACTGGGACAGGTTAATTGAGCTGTTTGAACACTGACAGGGTAGCCAGTGATGACTCGCAATGGCGGTCCGTGCAGAGATGACTTCCCTCGAACGCGTCAAACTGGGTAACAATGATCTTGCGCCATGTGCGCTATACGTCAAGATGCTCTTCGACGTCATCCTCAAAGACCGGAGCATGTGTCCGTTCAAGTCATTGTAACGATTGAGGAAGGCTGCAATACACCGTCGGGATCAAGCCAAGGTGGACGATTGGGCCAGTTGGTGCTTGTCCTTGTCTTTTTTCCGTCCGTATTTTCTACCAGCGTAGTACACTTACATCAGGGATCAAACCACTGATTATCATCGGCAAGGACAGAGTTTTTTTTTTTTTCGTTTTTTAGGAGCGAAGCTCCTTAAGGCGTGGGGCTGAGCACCCCATCGTAATCGTATGTTGTCACCTCTCGTTAGTTTTTTAACCGGTCGTAGAGTGCGGTACTTGTACATATAACGAAATGCGTATATGCTGATAAATGCAAATGGTACGATACTAGAGGTCGTTACTTGTAATATGATATTTAATAAAAATCGTAGCATATCCATGGAGTAAATGATGATGAGTGGGGCGAAGCGTCCGTCATTTCGTCCGTGCCTCCGGCCGTCCGCTTGTTCTTGCTTCCGTCCATCCGTGCGTCCGTTCGTGCATCCGTCTGTTTGTCCGTGCGTCCATCCGCGCTTCCATCCATTCATACATCCGTTCATGCGTTCCTCCGTCCGTCCCTGCGTTCGTATATGTGTCCGTCTGTTCATGCGTCCATCCGTTCGTCCATCTGTCCGTCCGTCCCTGCGTCCGTTCATCTGTCCGTCCGCCCCTGCGTCCGTTCATCTGTCCGTCCGCCCCTGCGTCCGTTCATCTGTCCGTCCGTCCCTGCGTCCGTTCATCTGTCCGTCCGTCCCTGCGTCCGTTCATCTGTCTGTCCATCAGTACGTCCGTCCGTGCGTGCGTGCGTCAAACAGACAGGCAGACGACAAACGGACGCGGCCAGCGGATGATTCACGGTTTGCCAATAAAAAGTATGATACGCACAAGGCGGCGGCGGCTCGCGCTCGAAGACTGAACCCCGATGTGCGAGTGCGCGAGAAAATAGGAATGACGTCGCACAAAGACGTTGGCGATAGCGTGTTCGTCGGCGGCACCGTAGGCTAATGGGCGCGGTGTAGTGAAATAAAAGCCGTTCTGGCGCGCGCGAGTTCAGAAGGTCGGCGGCTGGACAAGGCTGCAGAGCAGCGTGTGCGCAAGACGGCGTCGGCTCGCGCTCGAAGACGAAACCCGATGTGCGAGCGCGCGAGGCAGAAGCGTGCCGTGAAGCTGCGCGGCAGCGCCGACAAGATCCCGGCGTACGAGAACGGGAAGCCCAAACGGGACGGCAGCGGCGTGCGGACCCAGCTTCGACCCACTCTCCACCATTCATTTCGTGGATATGCTGTCATTTATTTTTGCTGTTTTGTATTTGTTTTTTTCTCGAGGAGAGGGTGCACCGACGACAAATGAGTTCCTTGAGGGTAGCAGGGGAACTTAAGCGTTGTGTTTGAACCCTGTTACCCTGCTTGCTGTTGTGGGGGGAGGGGTGGGCAAAAAACTATTGTGAAATAATCCACACACCCCTCTCCCATGCCCCCGCTCGCTACACTCCTGGTATTAAATGAATCGATGAACAACTTCATGTGTATCTGTTTAAAGCAAAGTGGGCAATCGGACTGAGGGTGGCGGGGAATGGGAGTGAGCAATTACTTAAAGGTCTCCTCTTCTCGAAGGCCTCTTGTACTCTCTCATCCCACTCCATCATTCTAGCAGCGTCTAGTATAGCATAGCATAGCCACGCATAGCATAGTGTGGGAAGAAGGTGGGTAAGGTAAATGAGGGTGAGGAGGAAAAAAGGGGATGGGGTAAAGCATGGCATACCCTTGTATAGTATAGTTGAGCGCCACTGACGGCGGATACGTGCCAAACAGTTCCTAGCATAGCATGGTAAAGCATAGTAAGGAGGCGGGGAATAGTACAGAAAGCCGAGATGATTGGTACGAATGTTTTGTAATATAGCGCAAATAACACATAGGAACACAGGCCCCTGTGTGATGTTCGCGCTATTTTACTATGATGAGGTTGGCAAAGACAGTGATGGCGAGAAGTGTTGTGAAGGTGAGGAACAACACTAGGTGGCAGGGAGAGGATAAAGCATGGCATAACATTGTGTAGTATACTTAAGGGGAAGTGTGGGTGCCGAAAACTGATGTAAACGTTAGGAAGAAGAAAAGAATGGGGTAAGAGGTATAGGCACCATGTACCGTATAACATGGCAAAGGGTGAAAAAGAGAAGAGAAACAAGGACAGAAGACAATATAGAAAGACCAAAGAAAGTGCGTTGGCCAGGAGGGGGGGGGGGGGAGAAGAAGGGCGCTTGCTTTCCAGCTTCACTATTTACGCCCAGGCTTAGACCTCACTTTAGTTTCTTTTTGTGGTTCCGCAGGAGATCTTCGTCGAACCGCTCATACCGTTCGCTGTGCGGATGGCGTACCGGCTGCGAGACACCAGTGACCAACGCTGGTGCCCCACTTGCCCGGTTCCCGACAAGACCATCCCGCTTGCACTCACTAAAGCGGTTAGTCGTCGGTCGTTTAATTCATTTTTCTCTTGGGCAAGATGACGCAGACAAAAGAACAAACTTAACACGCTGTATCGAATTTTATACGGAGCGCTTGCTGCGGTTGTTGTATTTCTTTCCTCACAGATTCCATACCAGCACGGCTGTGGTTCGGATGATGTTTGTCGGGCGGACCTGAAACTCGACGTCAACATTGCTAACTACGAGTAAGTATACAGTGAGATCTGGAAAGAGGCGAGTCAAGGCTGACGTTCAAGATAATTAACGTGCACGTATAAAAGTATTGCTAACAGCTTAATCTTCATGAGTACAGACTGGTGGGGTAGCTGGTAGTGCTGTATCCCGCCTTGATCGGTCGCCGTCCCTGTGCTTCGTAATGCTTGTTTTTAATTAGCTTAACCCTCATTTTTCCTTTCCCGCTAACAACGTTGCGTGTACAGTAAAAACATAATCAATATCTTGCCGTGGTTTATCATGATGATATGAGAGTGTTCCGTCGCATAAATTTGACTTCCTTAAAATGTTCATTGTTACATCTCTTTGCAATAATTAGTGTCAATTATTATGTTTCTTGTCACTGGGGGCCATTGTTTCGGAAATGTGAGAGCTGTCAGTCGTCGTCCCACCTTTTTGTTTGTTTTTTTGCACTATCTCATGTTCTATGAAATGAGCTTGTTTCGCATATCGTGTCACACACACAGGCGTTATCATAGAACTGCTGCTTAAGTGACTGCAGGTTTTTTTTTTTCTTTTAAGCGCTTTTAAACGTTAGAGACCTCGCATGTGACTGGTGACGAGAGACCTTTACGTTAGGGAGTTTTAGCTTGTACGTATACTTCCTTACGTTACCGTGTTACCGGTTTACGTTTACCGTGTTACCGGCGCCCGAGTTTTAGCAGCGTTTTGCTACACATACGGGAACCTTTACGTTCGTACGTAAAAGTTTACGTTCGCCGATGATGATGATCATGGATGCACACATATTGAGGTGGTTGTGTTGTTATGCGGGCCCGGAAGCACGCTGCATGTGCTCAAAGGTCACAGTCGTACGGATCGTTGCGCCCCGCTTCCCTTTTAAACGTAATGAGGAAACTGGGCAAGCCAACTGCCTGCTAATCTCCGCAATGCTGGATGTCCCAGCTACCTACGGCATCCTCCTCATTTCGTTTTACCGCTTTCGCCCGCACAGTGGATCCCCGCTGGTGGTCGGCGAGCGCCGGGATCTCTCGGTGTCATTGTTCGTGGAAAACGCCGGCGCCACGGACCCCGCGTACCTTGCCCGCGTGCTGGTCACCCTGCCGGACCAAGTGCGAGTAGGTCAACAAGGACCAATGCAGTGTCCAGCTGGACCCGGCGCACGGCAGGTCGCTCATCGTCTGCGACGCCGGGAATCCACTGCGATCCTCGAGAAACGTAAGCGGGACGAACACTAGCGGGGTCACTCGCCTTCGACTCGAAGGCAAAAGGCGTCTTTCTTTTTCTTCTCAGCCAGTTGTATTGATCCTCACCCCCGCCCCCCTCAGAAAGCTTTCTGCACCTTATACGGCTCAGCACCGCTTGAAGAAGAGGCCCACCTATGACCAAGCAACGTCGTTATGTGATGACATCATAATAACGTCACAACGTTCGGTGAACTGTGACGTCTGAGTTTTTGCAACACTCACATTGACGCCCACGCCATGAGATGCCACTTCATTTGTTTGAAACGTGGTTGAGTGCCATTATGGGCTGCAGGGCCGTAGCAAGGAGAAGGGGGACCTATAGCCCCCCACCCCTAAATTCGTATGAACGGTAGTGTGCTTGGTTGAGTGTCATATTATGGTCTGCAGGGCCTTAGCAAAAGGAGGAGGGGGCCTATAGCCCCTCACCTCGAAATTCGTATGGACGGGGGTGTTCGTGGTTCAGTGCAATTATGGGCTTCGGCGCCGTTGCAAGTGGGGGGGGGCTATAGCGCCCCCCACCCCGAAATTCGTACAGACAGGGGTGTTCGTGGTTGAGTGTTATTATAGGCAGCGGGGCCACAGCAAGGGGGGACCTATTGCCCCCCCCCCCCCCCGAAATTCGTATTGACGAGGGTGTTCGTGGTTGAGTGTCATTATGGGCTGCAGGGCCATATCAAAGGAGGGGAACTATATCCCCCTTCGCTCCCTGAAATTCGTATGGACGGGGGTGTTTTATCGAGGATGAATAATAAAAGTATAGGTGCTTTTCACAACTGCGCCTCCCCCCCCCTCTCCGAAAGATTTCCCTGGCTATGGGCCCGAAGGACTGTGTATCCGATGGCAGAAAGAAAGGTTGGGGTAGGGAAATACCTACTCTGTGTGTCACCTCTGGCTACGCCATGATGACAGTGCTGTTTAATAGGGGTATCACATGACGCACTTCCTCTCGCAACCGAAAGAACATCGTAAGATGCCGGTATAAGATAAACCGCGGGATGTGTTTCGTGAGGTTTCATTGCTTGAAATACCATGATAAATCTTGACATTCGCAATGGTGGTTCAGATAATTAAACTATTTGAAGGCCGTGTGCAATGTAAGTCGACACCTTCGAAGTTTTTTATATAACAGTCCTCATTTAGGAAGATGGAAGATGTTCTTGTGACGTAAAGGTTTGTCACGCGCGCGCATATCGATACTCATCTTTCGCTTCTACTTTGCAGTCTTGCAATTGTTGAAAAACGGCGATAGCTTTCAGTCTCACTGCGATTGATTAAGATTGGTCTACTGCCACGTACTGGTAAAGGGCATAATGTATTTCATTGTACGGCACTTTTCTGAGGGTGTCTTGCATATGTGCATGCCCAGGTTATGTATAGATTGTGCGAAGAGCTTGGATGCCGCTTGAGCGTTGCCTTCACGAGTAGAACATGCTAACATAACCGGGACCACGTGCGCGTTGTCCTAAGCCACGTCGAAAGAAAAATTTTTGTGCAGCGTAAGATGTGCCGTTTAAGCTATTCTAGAATGCCTACTGGATGTGCTGTTGGTAAGAGCCCACTACACTATAATTCTTCCTTTTCCTACTTGGTGATTTACTTACTTCTCAGCCGAACAGTGCTCCGTGCACTTGCGTTGCTGCCAACTTTGTAATGGATGGGTAGCTTTAAACCACCCACTTGTTGCACAATTCGCTTGGTTTGACACCTGGTGCGATTCTAGGATTTTACCATGCAATGTGGCATGGGTTACTGAGGAGACTCAATTGACTACATGACACTCAGTTTTGTAGCGTTAGCTACACTGGCCTCGCTGAGCCAATTTCGCGTGGCACTGGTCTGCGCATGCGCAATGATACTCCGCCGCCGCCGTGCGCGGCTTGCCGCCGGTGTGCGCGCAATTCGATGCGCTGCGCAGACGATCAGTGGTGTCAGGCACCGGAGCCGGCACCTCCCTCGCACTCGGCCGCGGCCGCGGCCGCGCGCGACTCGCCGCCGCCGGTGTGCGCTTTCCAGAGGAGTGCCGTCATAGCCTTGGTAGACATATGGACGCCGACGCGCGTGCCTTCCCTGTGCAGTCGCCATCTGACACTGCGCTGGAGCCGCTTGATAGCGCCTCTGACTGGCGTTTGCCACTGTAGTATGGCCATGAAGAAGCAGAGTGCAAATGCTGCTCAACGGTGCAGTAGAGCAGAGAAGCTTAACTCATCGGATCCCGAAGTAGTTTCCCTGCAAAATAAATATACATGTGCCACATAATACGTATACCGTGTGTGTGTCATTGGAACAGCTGTAAGCATGATATATGGAAAGCTAAGAATAGTCAGCTGAACCTTTGCTAACGCTACGTATATCCTGGCATAGCTGAGCTAAGCCACTGCCATTTTTTTAAAGCACTTTCAAGCAATGACACGACGCAGACGGCCTGGGTTCGATTCTCACTTCAAAACGAAGCGTTTTACTTTTTATTTTATTTGAGTATTTCTCGATTTTTTCGGGCACGGTGAAGGTGATGATTTTTAGCTCACAACCAACGACACCACTGTCGGAATTTCTGCGAAATGATCTCTGTAACACTGTCATGATGAAAACTTAATGCAGCAGTTCAATTCCACTAGGTTTTGCTTGTGAGGCCTCGACTCGTATGCGCAGACATCTTACTAAATTCCTAGGCCGTCGAATATGATTTCTAGCATCATCAAGTTGAGTGTACAGCTATCCCGCCTTGATCATTTAACATGCAAGAGAAGTCCCACGAGACTTTTTTTTCAACACTCGATGAAACTGAATCACATAGACGACTGCACATAAGCGAAGTCATGACGCAAATTTTCAAGTTAAAATCTGAACCCTACTGATCGTTTATCCATGCACACTCTATATAGTTTGTATATGCTACGTGCGCTTTCTGCAGGCAATCTTCCTTCTAAAGCTGGACATGAGCCAAGTCGCGGATACATTCAACTTGACCGCTGAAGCTACTTCGACCAGCGAGGAAGCAACGCCGAATGACAACAAGGTTGTGATCGAGTTGCCCTTTGTACACAAGGCAGACATCTCCATGCTGGGGTGAGTATAGGCCGGCTGAGCTTAATTAACGAAGCTCTGGTTGCCTCATTTAAGCTGATGAAGCTATTCCAATATGAGACTGTCAGTGAAGCTGCGGGTATACGATTTCTTCAAGACGTCCTGCACTTGACGTCTTCAAGACATGTAATTCAATGTATTTAGAAGACGCTTAATATGGAATACGGGCTCTGTTAACAAATATGAAGGCATTGCATCCGTAACATGTGCCGTTTCCGGGTCGTGTGTCATGACTCCTGTGAACTTTCACTGCACTTGAAGCTGATTAGTTAGTGCTAGCATCTTGCCGGCTCATTTTACATTATTTAACCAGTTCTGCACCTAAATTTATTCCAATGCGTTTTGGTGTTTCATACAACTGAGGCACTTGGGGTAAACAAAATCAAGAACATTACATCTCTACGTTAGTGTGGAATGGATACTGATTCGTATATCAAGACTAGTACTCTCTAGTCATTCATACTAGTTGAATGCGCTCTGAACACTAGGTGGCTGGCAGTTAAGACATGTAGCCTAGACGATTAAAGTGTTAATTAACTGATTACTATAACTGAAGGCGATGTTTATGATGTGAACTTTGTTGTTCAACAAAAAAAAAAGATTAGGGGTTTTCCCACAGAAATATGCTGTCAGAAAACAGCTTGAAAGGATTTCAGGAACCATAACAGTAGCAGTGATGAACAGTCACAGGAAAAAAAAAAGAAAATAGGACTTGCATAATTCGGTAATTGAAATCGCATAAATTTTGCGTTAAGCAAAAAAAAAAGAAAAGATACAGCAAAGAGCACGTGTACAGCATGGTGCACATTACAGCAAAATGCACATTAAGCAGAAGCAGACGCGTAAAGTGGCACATTCATTGAACGTAAAGGTCTTATCGTGACATACAAAAATAGAACAATGCAAAGGGCACTGTGTAGTGACATAAGTGAGGTCATGTTGTAACTGTTTTATACCCATATAATTGAAATATTAAAAATTACACGCTGTTAAAAATATAAAAAGGTATTACAATCACCGATTTGAAATTTCGACATGTTATTGCAAAAAAAAAAACCTTGATACATGTGTGAGTATGTGTTGACATGTTTAGCATAAATTAGATATACCTTTCCATTGTTTTGCCCTTAATTGCAAAGGAAGAAGCCGTGTGGCTTAAAACACTGGCTGTAAACTGTACCATTATGTTACCATATGAAAAAAGTAGATAATTGGTCCCTGTTGTGTATTATTACCTTAGTTAATAATTGATCCTTCTGGTGTGATAATAATTTAATTCTCGATAACAGTTGAGCAATATTCAAGCGCATTGCATCTTTGCAGGAAAGCCAAGCCAGAAGTGGTCACTTTCAATGCAGCAACAAAGAACATTGAACTTGAACATGGATTTGTCGTAAGTATCTGTTCGCTCATCTGAGTATGACTCAAGGGTGTCAAATTTAGCGTTGTAAACTTCTTGCTCAAGTACCTGTAAAATGAAGAAATGTACTTATTTAGATTGCGCTTAGAAACCTATGTGAATTTTGTTATCTTAAAAAGGAATCTTCAGCAAGAGCAGATAGTTTTGACATAGCCGGTGTCATAGAGTCTAAGAAAAGTTCTTCAGTGAAATGCACCAAATTTAAAGAACTATAACATAGCAGTAGCGGTAGAGTTCTATGCATTCTAGACCATTTAAAGGACAATAACCTGGCGTGCGACGTACTCTCAAATTATTTTTTGCGTGTGTGTGTGTGAACCTTTAGATGCTATATAATAGAAAACACTTTGCCGATCGCACTGTCAGCATTTGATGTGGAGGCAAGGAATTGTCAAAGTTCTTGAATTGTTTCAGAACCCTACCATTTGTAAAAATTTAGCAAACACTCCTTTAATTAGGGTCAATAGTTTGAGTCAATTTTCTATTAAACACTGGGGACTATCGTTAAGTTAGTTCGAAATTTGCTGAAGTCAATTTCCAGTATTTCAAATTTAAGAAAAGTAAAGAAAGAAACAGTAGAAATATCAGAAAGCATTAAATAGAAAAATAAAGAAAAACTGTGAGAAAGTGCGAAAGAAAGAAGGTAAAAATCGAGAAAGAAAGTAGAAAAGGAAGATAGAATGTAAGAAAGAAAGTAAAAAGTAAAAAAAGTAAGTAAAAAGTAAGAAAGAAAGGGAACAAATAAAGTGCGAAAGTAAGAAAGTGAGATTAAGAAAGGAAAGAAAGAAATAAGAGTAAGAAAGAAAGTGAGAAAGTAAAAAGAATGTGGGACTGTAATAAGAGTAAGAAATTAACCAAGTAAATGAGAAAAAAATTAAAAAATCACAGGAACCTCGTCGATTCTTGTGTTTTCTCTCGCCATATTGTGTCCTCTCTTATTTTGCAGCTCGCCAAGCTGTACGCCAGTCCAATACAGCAAGTTCAGCTGTCCATCCGTGTGCCCTACGTTTTCAGCGAGACAGAGAAACCAATCGCCTATGTCCGGCAAATTAGGGTATTTCAAACTATCATATATGCCATAAATTTTTGGATATATACATAAAGAATCCGTCTAGGTTTCCTACAGATATATCGTGTTTAGGAGGTAGCTATTGCACTGCAAAATAATATATTCCTGTTCACATAATGTGACTACAAAACTTGATCTAAAAGATTTCAACAGCATCAATCTATGTTAATGAAAGACATAAATAAAGTTCTAAAAGTATTGAAAAAAAAAGCATTTACTATGTCACGTTCTATGATGCATTGCGATGAGCAGTATGTTAAGCAGAAAAAGCATTATGCAGAAAGAAAAAAAGTTTCCTTCGTTTTTAATGCAGTTATGAAACTTAATTTTGCTCAACTTGTTTCTCATTTTGTGTGACTTTTATTGTTCTCTAGTAATATTTGAGCATCTGACAAGGCTGCCTATTTGAAAGTTGCAGCCGTCTCGAAATGGTTCCGTTACAGTCCAATGAGATTGAATTGTATGATTCAGTGCTACTTTGTACGTTTCCCAGGCCTTTAGGACGACGTATTACAAGCTTGAAATCGTAGAAACTTACCACGCACTTTTTTATTTTACTGCAACACATGTGCTTAGTAAGCTAGAAAGAACCAGAGAAACAAACGTCATTGGAGCATACGCGACACCTTATCTGCATTCATTGGCAGTCCGGAGGGGGCGGGGGGGAGAAATTGCGCCCCCCCTGGAATTTCGATGATACTTTTTATGGTGTATTTATAAGCTACACAGCTCGATTAGCACACTGAGGTCGTGCATAGTCATGTTAAATGGATTACACATTATTGGCTGAGCATGCCGGTTGTGACACGGCAGTGAACGAAATCTTACCTGTGCTTGATGACATCTCCCCTACCCCCACCCTTGCGGATGTACCCTCCTGCAAAACTTATTGCGGACGTCCTTGTCTGCATTCAAAACTTCTCATAGCGTCCCGAATTTTCAATGTTCGTTTCGTTAAGGGCTAGTTAACTTGTACAATCATATATCGTTGCCTCATCATTTCAATCTGCGTTTCGCGCTACAGTGTGCAGTATACTACCGGGATTTCACTTCTTTCCTTTACCTTCCCGAGGCTATTGATCTCTTATAAGCAGCATTCTACCACAGCCGACAAGACACAGTTTGTATAACCACTCTTATTTAAGTGCTCTATCGGGAAGCTCATGCTTTCGCCTGTTCTGTGCTGACACGATTGTTTAGTAGCCTGAAACATGGACAATTTTGCAATGCCTCTTTTTGTAGGTTTCGTGTGATTAGACTCAAATGGCAAGATAGGTTTACCACTCCTTGTCTTGTACATCCACGGCACATGAACATGTTTCATGGACAACTGGCTGCAGTTCCTAGATTTGGAAATCAGTGCTCGGTTAGAGCACATGTAATGAGGGTGCCCCCCCACCCCCCCTTGCTTTGAAAAATGCGCTGAGAACTGCACTGGTCATATCCTCGCCGTTTGGGAAACGGACCGCATTGGTCAGGTACAATCCACCTTACAGGACGTGGGACACTACAGGGCTCCGTTCTTTCCCCTACATTATTTAATATCGCACTGGCAGGGCTTCCCCGCTTGCTCGACCAGATCCCCGATGTCGCCCATGCTATTTATGCGGATGACATCACTATATGGTCGATACGGGGCTCTGATGGAGCCATCCAGGATCGAGTGCAAAAAGCAGTGGATACTGTCGTTGAGTGCGCTAAAAGAGGAGGCTTGCAATGTGCTCCTCAAAAATCGGAGCTCATCGTCATTCGCTCCCGAAGCAGTAGCCCTCCTCCCCCAATTATTGTGCACATGGATGGCATACCCATACCTCATGTCCCTCGTGCCCACATCCTTGAACTACGTCTTCAAGCGGATGGCAAAGCTAACTACACCGTTGGTCTTTTATCTCGACAAGCTGACCAAATACTGTCCATGGTCCAGGCGGGTTTTAAATCGGCGCTCAGAGCTTAAAGAAGACCTGCTGCGCTTGGTGGAGGCCTGCGTGATCAGCCGGCTGACATATCACTTGCCCTTCCAGCGGTTGACTCAATCGCAACAACTACGCATAGACGCCATGATCCGCAAAGCGACAAACTTTGGCCCACGGCGTTCCGAACTACACTTCCACGCGTCTTCTTCTTAAGTTGGGGACACACAACACACTAAGCGAGCTGCTCGAGGCAGATTGGGTCAGTCAGCGCCAACGCCTCCTACTCACCCCTACTGGCCGCAATCTACTGGCCGCAATCTCCTCTCGCGCCTCGGATATCCCATCTCGCCACTTGAGATTGAAACCCGCCCCACGCCCTTATCGACTGCGATACGTAAAATACTAACTGTTCATCCCTTACCACGTAACATGCACCCCCAGCATGACAAGGGCCGGCGCAAATCCCGCGTACGATACTTCAGCCGTATGCTCGAAGACATCCCGATAATCGCATACTCTTTACACGGACACAGCCCGAACTCGCGAAGGTTACACTTCGGTAGTGTTAGATGGCACCGATTCCCAGCAGGACTCGGCTTGCAATGCGTGGGACACATGCCGCTCATGGCGAAATTCTTGGAGTCGTTCTAGCGATACGATATGCTATCCGTGTTCACAGTGAGGTCTCTATATTGACAGACTCGCAACAGGCATGTCGGGCCATCCTATCAGGACATGGCATCCCAAGAGCGGCCCACCAAATTCTCAATGAAATTCCACTAACTGAGTCAAACAGCACTTTTCGCACCCACTTACTCTGGGCTCTGGTCATGCCTCTCTGCCGGGCAATGAACGTGCACACGCTGTTGCCCCCGAAAATTCCCTCCGGGCGGCCCGGCAAGGCGAGGCGAACATTTCGGAGTGGGGGGATCCTCTTCTCACTTACAAAGACATTCTCCGTCACTACAGGAACGTTCGTCGCACTCGGAGCGCCCCACCTCCATCTTTCTCGCGAGAGGAGGCAGTATCGTTACGCCAGCTAGACTAAAACATTCCCAATCTAGTATCACTTCATAAATTCTACCCACAGTGATATGCAGACCGTTGCCCCGGTTGTGGAAACTCCTCCACCACCTTTCATGTCTCGATCGAGTGCACTGCGAACATCTTTCCTTCCTTACCTGCTTTCCTTCACCCTTTACGTAATGAGGAGCTGTGGGATGATGCTCTCCGCGATGAACCTCCCGAGGTCCTCCGAGCTCTGATACAGCGGGCCCGGCTTGTCGCTGGAGTCGTCCTAGGGACCCCGGACTAGGGGTTTTTCCCACTCCCTCTTTCTCCATGCTTTTGTGAATAAAGACGTTCCTCTCTCTCTCTCGCCATTTTGCTGCGGCCACCGGCCACAGCGAAACGGCGAGAATATGGTCAATGCAGTTCTCGCTACAAAAACATTATAACGACGTGAGAAAGTAATCACACATTTGAAAGAGTGCCGTAATGTTGAAGAAGACGCATTAGATAGACGCATTGTAACGTATATGCAATTGCTCAAGTTGATCTCTCTTGGCGGGCAGGTGTTGCAGGGCGATTCATTCGTTCCTGGTAGTTGCCGCAACATGGAGGGAGTGGTCAAGAGCATCGACGGCCAAGACCAGGCTGGACGGAACAGCGAGGACGATTCGCGGACCGACGTGCTCGCCTCGCGAAATGGCAGCCTGGGTGGCCGGGTCCAGCGGTCGGTGCCCGAGCACGAATCACCGCGCTCCGAGAAACTCACCGCTCTTCTCTACCAGAACGTTCCACCTCTGGTGAGGAGCGTACATACTATATTACACATGAATTTCAGTGCCGCCTTCAAGGGCTATTAAAATTGCCATTTTGTATTTTTAAGAACTAAGCAAACAGTGATACGTAGCACGTGTACACCGTAAATGGCTGGGTTGTTGCAATCGACGTTTCTTGACCTTATTAGTTCACGTTGTGATATGCTAAAATTAAATAAAAAAACGTTATTCTAACTGTCCTAGGTGGAGGTACCGATATACCTTATGTAAAATCGTCAATATTGTAGATCAGCGCGAACAAAATGGACATTCTGGCCTGTTTACATAATTTAGATTGCAGACTACCTACATTTTAGTTGAGAGCCAGCTCACCTCGCATTGGGAACGATAAGCGAGTGTCGATAAGCGGCCATGCGGCCGACAACCCTTGCCACGCACGACACGAAGTTATAGATTAATGGTTTACTAAGGCCGAAGGAAACAGTGTCGTCATTGAGGTCGTTTCGGAAGTTAAAGGTAGATGCGCTGTTTGGCGCGTCGGTTTTGGTTTCACTCGCTAAATTAGCCACATTTTCTTGCTCCACCTGTGATTACCGGTGGCCACCTTTCAGAAGTTTTAAAATGGCTATAGACTATTCGCACGAAGGACCTGAATTCACCTATTGTACATGATTGCTTATTTCTAGAGGTTAAAAAGTTAATGGAATGAATTTTTATAGTCACTGCCGTAATTAATGTCTGTAGGCATCTGAAGATGCCTTCTGCCACAGTAAAGGGAATGCCGCAGGTTGCATGCAAATACCTCCTTTCCGTGAATTTTCAATAATCTTGCAACGCATTTTTTGAAACGCCCTGTGTACCCATTGTGAACTGCCCACCATGATTGAGCTTTAAATTTCTCTCTTTACAGAACTGCAAGACTTCATTGTGTCACGAAGTCAGATGTAACTTCGGGCCGTTTTTGAACAGGCAAAAGATTGCTCAGATCATACTGACGGTCGTCGTCAATATGGAAGAGTTCATAAGACAAGCCGTAAGTACCAGCCTGATACGTTACCTGCCTCTTCTGCAACATGTGCAAAATTAAACCGTTCTCTATATCTTGCTGGTGCTTTTCACATTCACTAATAATCAGCTACTTTCATTTTCCACTTCAAGGGCTCCTGGTATGCGTTCAGCGTTGGTTCGGAAGGTTATTTGAAGATTCTGGACAACACCACCTTCCTGACTGACCCGAACTCCCGCAAGGAGATTCGTGTAAGACCACTATTTGCTATGCTGCGGTTAA